GAAACAGTGTTGCTCAGAACCAAAGGAGAAGCCAGCGCCAAGGAAGAGCGGCCACCCAGCTGCCGCCAAGGACATGGTGCAAATGCAGGGAGAGAGGGCAGAATCATTCCACTGTCTCTCTCCCCACCCTCTGATCCACGCTAAGCCAAGCAGAGGCCAGATGACAAAGGAGTCCTGGAAAGGCAGCTATTAGGAAGCAGCCAATTCTTAGTGGATAGAGAGGTCCCTGTGTGGATGCGAGGTGAAACCCAGTGAATAACCAGCCACGGACAACTCAGGTTACAGCCGACTCAGCGAGATTAAATGCCTGATTAAATTTACGCAGCCCATAATCTCTGATCTGGGACTCTAATACCCGTTTCCAGACTCTCCAAAGCCAGTCCTATTTCCAATATGCTTTGTTAATGGCTTCGCTGCTGATGACTAAGGGACGCAGTAGGTGTTGCTTGAGTCAAATGTGATACTTGGTTTCAAGCCGAGCAAACTCAATAGGGATTCCTGTGGAGGTTCTTTGTTGTGTGTCTTCCATGGGGACGGGGTCCCTTAGATGGATTGTCCAGTGAACCAGGTGAACACAGCGATGATGACTGTCTTGTTCTGGTGAGGTCACTAGATAATGCTGAAAGCCATGGGAGCATAGACCGGAACAAAGCAGCAAAGATGTTGTCACATTGTGGGGGAGAACCTGGCCACAGATGTCAGCAAGCCTGAGTCTGAATCTTCTCTCCCTCCCTCTCTCACCACTTGGGGTCTTGAACACTTAATCAAGTCTCACTACATTTATCTATTATTGAGGGTAAAAAAATGCCCATGTCCTAGGATGGGTGTGAGGATTAAAACAATGTTTATAGTGCTTAGCATAGTAGTTCCAGTTAACAATAATAGCTATAATGTATTGGACTCTTCTCATACCATTATTTTCCATAAAACAGACTTCACTACTTAGGGCACAATAGCCCTCATTTCACAAATATGGAGACTGAGTCCTAGAAAAATGATTTGTCTAAGATCACATAGATCATTACCAGTGCCCCAATCTGAATTCAAAAGCAGGGGTTTCTATTCTGTTATGCAATTCCAGGCAAGATGAAGTTCTAGTAGTTTTGCTGGTGGAGGCTTCTTACCAGAAACTATAGAAATGTGCCTAAGCACACTTTTTTCTTGAACTTTCCCAGGTTGGTGTAATGGGCATGAGTTACATACTCTTTTCTGATTATTCCTCTCATCAGTTTGCTGGGTCTCCTGTTGACATTTCAGACCTAGCCTTAGCAACGTTACTGTTTTTAAAATAAAGCCTGGTGTGCCCTTGAAGAATATGCCTTTCACCGTGGGGTAATTGGTTTGGAATCCCGATGCCTTTCTTTATCATCACGTGGAACTGATTTGTGAGGAATATGGCTTTGATGCTTGAAGCTTGGCTTTGCGCCAGGAAGTCATTGTTGGGGATTCTGGCTGTTTGATGTTAAGACGCAATCTGCCGAGGAGCTGACGAGGCCTATTAATAGGAATTCAAACACTGTGTCACAAGCTTCACCAGGAGGGCCTGGACAGGGAGGCCTGAGTAACGATTCTGACAGAGCCAGGAGGCATCATTGGACAGGACAGTGTGCCCTTGACACCACCTTGGGACTCAAGGAGGCATCTGAAACATGCCAGCAGCTCCTGTCCACGCGATCCTCACTTGATTCACTATTTTGGGCACACGATATGCCCCAATTAGGTGTCGGTCTTTCCCACAGGACAGAGCTCCTTAGAGGCAGGGATTATGTCATTAATTCAGAAAGCATTTGTTGAGTGCCTCTTGCCACTGCCAGGCATTGTAGAAGGAGCCAGGAGCCTTATTCTTCTTTGTGCCCAGCATCTCGTCAAGAGGCTAGCACATGGCAGACGTTCAGCAAGTGTTATGGGTAAAATACTACTCACTGAGGAGGCGAAACACAAACACTGCCTTCACTTGCACAGTGAATATATTTTGAATGTGATGTTTTCTCCAGATTGGAGGCATTACCCAAGTCTTTGGCATCAGGAAAAATTAACTTGTGGCATATATGTCATAATTGTTAAACGTGTTTCTGTTGATCTCATGATAAAAGGCTAGAACATTCTAGTTGATCAAACATTTTGACTGAAAGTTCATATTTGGTACTGTCAGTTAAGAAAAATAAGTTGAATATCTCAATAAAACATAAATCATTCCTTGATGGTCAAAAGGCAATGTGAGTCTCACAACCATCATTAAGAAACCATTTATCATTGGATAAGCCCTAGCTGTATACATGGGGTGAAAGGTTTTAGATTAATTAATGCTTACTCTGTTATTGTGATTTATTTTTTATACACAATTAATGAGACATAGTTATGATGAGCTTCCCCCAGGCTACAGTTAATTATTTAAAAAATTATTTTAAAGAAGCAAAATTGTATCCACCCAAGGTTGTTTGTGAGAGCTACATAAAAGAAATTCATTTGAAAGAAAATAGATAGGGCTGGGGATGTGGCTCAAGCGGTAGCGCGCTCGCCTGGCATGCGTGCGGCCCGGGTTCGATCCTCAGCACCACATACAAACAAAGATGTTGTGTCCGCCGAAAACTAGAAAATAAATATTGAAAAATTCTCTCTCTCTTCTCCCTCTCTCTCTCACACTCTCTCCTAAAAAAAAAGAAAGAAAATAGATAGCTCTCAGAAGGGAAGGCTAGAAGCCCAGGCTTAGGAATAAATGGCAGGAACCAAGAGAGGTTAGGCTGCAAGAAACACAGCCAAGCAGCTGTGTGGCTATACTGCCACTGGACCCTCATTACTGTGGCCTTACCAAAACTGTTTCTATGACAGGGAGCTGTGGCCCACAGAGGCTGAGCCAAGGTTTGGGGACCACAGTCTAGATGCCAGAACAGGGTGAGATGGAGGATTTTGCCCCTTGAACTTCTGTAGATAGAATTTGAATCATGCTTCTCACAAGCCTTGTCTGTTGGCAGAGTAAAAATCAAAACAAACAAGAAAACAAAAACAAAAATAATAAAAAGGTCATTAATTACATAGACTGAGGGATTTTAAAACAAAGCAAAACATATTGTTTGTTATAATACCTTATGATGCAATCAATGAATAAATGTACAAAATATGTGCAGTAGAATAAAAATAGACAAGTCAATAAGTACATGGTAGATTGAGTAATGTCTGCCCCCCTCCCTGCCTTACACCCCCCCACCACCAAATTGTCCACATTCTAATCTTCAAAACCTCTAAATATGATGCTTTCATGGCAAGGGGATTTTGAATATGTAATAGGTCAGGATCTTGATACAGGAAGATTAACCTGGATTATCTGGGTAGATCCCATATTCTCACAGGGGTCCTGATGAGAGGGAGGCTGAAGGATCAAAGTCATAGGAGGATGTGTGACAGCGGAAGCAAGAGGTCAGACAGATTTATGAACAGTGCCAAGAGCCACAGAATGCAGGTGGCCTCTGGAAACGGAGTAAACAGATTCTCCCCTTCAGGAGGAACCAGTCCTGTCACCTTGATCCTAGTTCCATAAAACATTTTGAGACTTCTGACCCACAGACGCACAAGAGAATAAATTGTATTGTCTTAAGCCACTGAGTTTGTGGTAGTTACAAACAGTGACTAGAGGAAGCTACTGCAAATGATAAAGAAGAAATTTTAGCTATTTAAAGTCTGTAGTAAAAAAATGTGAATTCTAGATAAAGAGGAGATTCCAGAAAAATGCAAGATAGAATAAAACACACTTCAAGCTCGTTTGCTGCATTGGGATTCTTCAGTACTGTCTGTTCAGCTCCCTTCATTCTGTCAACCAAATTCTTTATAATGGGATCAACATGGTGATAATTTTGAATTTAACTCCCTGAGCCCAGCAGCATGACTACCAAACATATAAGAAAGAGGTTCTATCTTCCACCAAATACAACATAAAGGCAAGAATTAAAAGAAAATACTATTTTCTGTGCTTAACTTTTACCTAGTTTTGATAATCTTTCTAATATCAATGAAACAACTTTTCATTGATAGGGTAGAACTAGAGAATGTACTAGGTTTTTTAGGAGAAACAAAGTAAGAAGTGTAAATACTTAGACTTTATATATTTTTAAGTAATTTAACAAGTCATAGAAATTAATAATGGAACTGATTATTAAAAGTGATTCAATCTTTTTTCTTTTTCTCTTCCCTTCCTCCTCTTCCTCCTCCCCCTTCTCCTCCTCTCCCTTCTCCTCTTCCTCCTCTTCCTCCTCCTCCTCTTCCTCCTCCTCCTCCCCCTTCTCCTCCTCCCCCTTCTCCTCCTCCCCCTTCTCCTCCTCTCCCTTCTCCTCTTCCTCCTCCTCCTCCTCCTCCTCCTCCTCCTCCTTCTCTTCTCTTCTCTTCTCTTCTCTTCTTTCTCTCTCTCTCTCTCTCTCTCTCTCTCTCTCTCTCTCTCTCTCTCTCTCTCTCCCCCCCCCCCCAGGGATTGAACCCAGGGCCTCGTTTATGTTAGGCAAGCTTTCTACTATCAAGTTACATCCCTCAGTCTTCCTTTAAATTTTATTTTGGACATGGTCTCATTAAGTTGCAATCTTCCTTTTAAATGTATGTTTTTTAATATTTGCAGTTTAAAACAAGTTCTTTTTAATAAGCTATTTTGAAAGAAGACTTCTATAATAAAATTTCTTTCTTTTCTTCTCCCTTAGCAATCATTTAAAATAATTTCTACCCAAAAAATTCTTCATCATTTTAAGACATGTAGCCTCGTTACTCCTATCCATTTCCCCAATCAATAGAACCTGTAATATTGATTTTTTTAGATCCAGTGTGATATCAAAGCACTGTATCAAAGTCAGTTGGGTCACTGAAGGTAAAACATATATCTCTGTATGCCAGTTCCCTCCCCTTATTTGTCTATGTGCCATGGTTAGCTGAAAGGACTTCCAAATAGTCTTTCATTACCTATTATTGATGAGTTAAGAATAAACATGTTGGGCTGTCTGTGTAGCTCAGTAGTAGAGCACATGGCTAGCATGCATGAGGACTTGGGTTCAATCCCAGCACCAAAAATAAAATAAAATAAACACTTTAATACTTAAAAGAATCCTCTTGTTGCAGTTAAGTGAGAATAGATGTTCTTTCTTTGAGAGAGAGAGAGAGAGAGAATTTTAATATTTATTTTTTAGTTTTCGGCGGACACAACATCTTTGTTTGTATGTGGTGCTGAGGATCAAACCCGGGCCGCACACATGCCAGGTAAGCACGCTACTGCTTGAGCCACATCCCCAGCCCCAGAATAGATGTTCTTTAAAAGTAATTTGAAACACTAAATACAATGAAATGTAGCATTCTATTGTTGTATAAAGATAAAGGCAAGAGTGGCATAACAGTGATATAGTTGCATAAAAGGAAAATAATATTTATTACTTTTGAAGGAAAGAGAGCAAGATGATAGAAAACACTCTTTATTTTACAATAGTGAACTTGATTTTGTGTAATAACCAGTTTCAGTTTTCTCTTTTCCCTTCCACGAGGGATAAGAGAGATGGATCAGCTTTTTGTTGCAGTCTGTTGAGTGTAACAATTCCATATTCTCTTCTTTCAGGAAGAAAAAATGAAGATCTAATTCAAAGCAAAAAATAATAATAATTTACAGTTATTTGATTAAATAAACTGATTGATTAAATCACATAAAATGTAGGGTTACATAGTTGTTTTAAATAGTTAAGCCTAGTGTTTGTTTTTCTCCCCAATTGTAACCTTTTTAAAAGCACCTAATCATATCATTGATAAAAATCACAGTGTTTGAAGAATAAGGCAATTATCCTTACTTCTGTGAGCAAGATTTTGCCCCAGTAATGTTTTGATGTTGTGTGAATCTTGTAAGCAATAGTTTAGATTTAATGAATTATTATACATTAATATATGGCCATCCCTCAATATCTGTGGGTTCCATATCTATGGATACAACCAACCAGGGATCAAAAATATTCAAAAAGAAAATTGTACTGATACTGAACATATGCAGGCATTTTTCTTATCATTATTTCCTTCACAATATAATGACTATTCACATAACATTCACATTGTGTTAGGTATCATAAGTCATCTACAGATGATTTAAATTATTGCAGAAGGGTATGTGTAGGTTATATGCAAATACTATATCATTTCACATATAGGACTTGGGCATCCTAGGATTTAGTATCAGTTGGAGATCCCACAACTAGTTCTGCAGTGGATACTGAGGAAAAACTGCCTGTGCCTGTAAAGAGGTAATTACAGGGCTGGGGATGTGGCTCAAGCGGTAGCGTGCTCGCCTGGCATGCGCGCTGCCCGGGTTCGATCCTCAGCACCACATACAAACAAAGATGTTGTGTCCACCGAGAACTGAAAAATAAATATTAAAAAAAAACTCTCTCTCTCTCTCCCTCTCTTTAAAAAAAAAAAAAGAGGTAATTACATTAAAATTAGACCATTAGGTTAGGACCCTCATCCATTATTACTGGTTTCTCCATAAGAGGAAGGAACATGAGAGGCAATGTGAGGATGTAGCAAGAAGATGGCCAGGCCATCTGTAACCCAGGGAGAGAGGCCTCAAAAGAAAATAAATTTGTCCATCTTTTCCTTGAACTTACAGCTCCAGAGCTATGAGAAAATAGTGTTCTGTTGTTTAAACCACATACTCTGTGGCATTTTGTTATGGCAGTCGTAGCAACTAACACACTGGGAATTTTTGAGAATGACCAAAGGGTTGCTGTCAATAAACATGCTGAGCTAACAAGTTAGAATGGAATTGTCCTAGACAAAACAGGAGAAATGTTAAGTCAATCAGGGTTAATGCAGGAGAGCCTGCCTGACAGAGAGGATGGGAGAAACGAATCCGAAGGCATTCCAAGTTACAGGAGCTCCGGTAACGGTTAAGACATATCATAAGATCTATGGCTGTGTGTGTGTGTGTGTGTGTGTGTGTGTAGTACTAGAGATTGAAACTAGGGGTGCTGTACCACTGAGCTACATCCCCAGACCTTTTTATTTTATTTTGAGGCAGGTCTTACTGAATCCCAGGCTGACCTTGAACTTGAACATCCTCCTGCCTCAGTCTCTCACATAGCTGGGATTATAGGCGTGCACCATGGCCCCTGAGATTTGTGTTTTTAAGAGACCATTCTGGTGACATTGCTGGGGGCTGGGTGATGAAGCAGGAATTTACTGAAAAAAGACAGTAAAATCCTGCTTGAAATAAGGGGGTCACATGAGGATACAGGAGATGAACAGATGCCAAGGATCATAAGAAACTAGAACCACCAGGAATTCTCACCTGCCTATTCTGCATCTGAGGATTCAACCAATGGCAGATCAAAAATGTTTGGAAAAAAAAATTGCAACTGTACAGAACATATACTGACATTTTCCTTTTGCATTGTTGCCTAAGCAATACAGTACAACCACTTTTCATAGCACCCACATTGAATTAGGTATTATCAGTAATTTAGAAATGATTTAAAGTACGTGGAGGATGTGCACAGGTTATATGCAAATGCTACACTATTTTGTATATAGGACTTAGGCATATCAGAATCTTATTATCAGAGGGAGGTCTTATAATCAACTGTCTAATGAATACAGAGGGACAACTGTATATGTAGGGGACAAGGGACAAGTCAAGAAATCATGTTTTGGGGGCTGGGGATGTGGCTCAAGCAGTAGCGCGCTCGCCTGGCATGCGTGTGGCCCAGGTTTGATCCTCAGCACCACATACAAACCAAGATGTTGTGTCTGCCAAAAACTGAAAAATAAATATTGAAATTCTCTCCTCTCTCTTTCTCTCTCTCTTAAAAAAAAAAAAAGAAAGAAATCATGTTTTGGCTTGAGTTATTTAGCCAATGTAGATAGATAGAAAACAAAGAGGAAGAACAAGTTTGGAAGTAACTTAAATTTACTTCTTAAAATAGCAAATGGTGGCCTTGGGTGTTTAACATTTAGGTCCTGACTCTACATTACGGCATATGATAAAATTAAAATTGATGAAAATTAGTATTTAAAATGTGTGTTAAAGGTGGAATAAGTTTCCATCTCCTCTTTGAAAAGGTGTTAGATAATCAGTAAAATAATGTTTTAATATAATTACTCAAAATTGCTTCTGGACAGTAAGGATAACTTTTGTAGTTAACCAGCTTATATTATTACTTATTGAGAAACTGTGAGGACATCTTCTCTCACTAGGGATATAGACTCTAGACATTTGATACAAGCAATGTTTGACAATATCAAGGCCTGGGTGACAGGAAGATTTGGTCAATCAACCTTGAAACCAGTTGTTTACTAGCTCCTTGGATGATCAGTCATTAATATCTTCCCCTTTTCCTGACTCATCAGCTTTTCAGTAACTTTATCAACAGGAGTCATTTATTGACCCATTCAATGAGCCTGCCTACTGCCTAGAAATCCTTGGTCAATCTGGGCGACAGAAATTTAAGGAAGCAGATGACTGTTGTTCTCAAGTTGCTCAGCCTGTCATGAAGGTACCAAAAACATCACCAACAATCTCAGTTAGTGTGGTGATAGTCTTAATGAAACTATTCACAGAGAAGCTAGTTCTGGTAATATATGCTTGTAATCCTAGCAGGGAGACTGAGGTAGGAGGATGTAACACAAGTTCAAAGCCAGCCTGTGCAACTTAGTGAGACCCTGTCTTGAAAATTTAAAAGGGCTGGGCATTTAGCTTAGCATTAGAGTACCGCTAGGTTCAATCTCCAGTACTGCCAAAAAAAAAAAAAAAGGAGGAGGAAGTGGAGGAGGGGGAGGAAAAGGAGAGGAGGAGGAAGAAAAAGAGAAAAAAAAGTCAGTTTAGCTTTTTCTCTGCAGTCCTTCCTTCCCTCTGTGACTTCCACAAATACCCCTTAATTGTTGGGATGGATGGGGAAAAGTCTAACTCAAAAACTCAGTTGTCACCTGTGGCAATTCATTTCCACGTGAACCTGTTGCCTGCTTACCAAGTGCTAGGTCTGGGAGATGTGATGGACAAAAGATGCATGGTCCTAGCTCTCAGAGAGCTTACACTTATTGGGAAGGATGGCTATCAACAAATACTTGTCTCAATTCAGGCTCTTCTCCCTCTCAATTTAGTTCAGCTGAGGACTCAGATAAGCACCACCTCCCATCATCAGAAGTGCCTAAGCAGTGAGGAAGATCAGAGTCCAGGGATGGAGCGACTACCCCACCATGGCAGAGAGGCCATGAAGATTTGGGCAGAAGCCACAGAAATAGTCACAGGTAAGTAGCCTGTCTGAGTGGATAGGATAATGGACAGCAGAGCCACACATTTAAGATTATAAGCTTTGGAGCCAGCCTTCCTAGATAAGAATCCCAGATCTTCCGCTCATTAACTGGGAGTATGACCCTAGATACACACCTTACTTCTATAAAGATGATAACAGCAGGTGCCTCCTGGTTTAAGAATTAAACAACTTGCCTGAAACACAAAATTATGTGGCAGAATAAGTGCTCTTTAGTTTCATATTTTTAAGAAGAATCTACATAATTAAAATGTTTTAAAAGAATGATGGTGATTATAAATATTTTGTATCCATATGTAAATTGGCTTTAAATTTGGAATTCAGTGTTCTTCTCACAAGGTACATGCTAATTCATAATTTGTGCATGCAACTACTTATTTATATAGGAGCTCAAATGCTCAGAGAAAGGTATGGAAAGATGTACATGACATAGCTGAAAATGATTCTCTCCACAGAGAATTGAACTGGAGATGCTCAAGTTCTTTAGCTTTTCATAAAATATTTGATTTCTTCTTTATGATGAAAATGTATTCATGAATTAAACATAATTTTAACAGGTAAAAAATTCTAAAAAAGAAATGTTAACACTCAGCTGGAGATGTAAAAGGAGGTATATCTACATTTAAATGGCATTTCCCCAAATACTGATTGCAAACCTAGTTCTCTTGACTCACCCCACTAAGTATTTTAGGGTATGCAAAGTACATGTAGAGTTACCCAATCTCTTGCAAAAGTCCTTTTCCCTCATTCTGGCTACTCTGACTTGAATTTGATTGGACCTTGGGGGTGGGTAGGGTTTTGATTGGAGTAGCTAATCCAGGTGAGCAGTGTAAGCAGAAGTGGGGGAGGAAAACAGAAAAGTTTTAGGAAACAGCAAGTGGGTGAGTTTGATTGGTCTCGGCTTACTGGAAAGAGAATGATATTATGGAAACTTGGAGAGGTAGATTGGATTTAGTGCATTCAAGTGCCTTGAATGCTGCTGTGTTGTCAGTTAGCTTTATTTCTTTATGTAAGTGAGAAGTACTGAAGGATTTTTGAGTAGAAGAGAAACCCAGGCTTAGGAAGAATTTTTTAGTAGCAGTATAGAAGTGGATTTAAGTGAGCTTCCTTGGGGAATTTTAATTGGTCAGTGTAAGAGAATGAAGACCTGGCTAATGGGTAATAGGGGAAAATGGGGGGAAAAGCACAGATTGGAGGTAAGAGATAGAACATTAAGTTAATTGTTTAAAAAAAGGTCAAAGGATTAGCAAGAAGTGTAGATAAAAAAGATGTACAGGCTACTTCAATGTTTTCAGGATTAAATTTTTATAAAATAATGCCATTTTTGGGAAACAGAAAAATCACCAGAAAGGTTACTTAGCAACGGCAACAGGTTTATTTTAAGACATTTTGAGATTGAATCTCTAGGTAGGCATCTGAGCAAAACAAACATCAGTCATTTGAAACTCCATCCTAGAGTCATCTGCAGTGAAAAATATATGGAAAAATGTAGGTGTAGATACAGTTGCTTGATAGAACATGCAGAAAAGGAGGAGAGTGATGAGAGTCTTGAGGAACAGGTAACTTTGAGGATATTGGCGATTAGGGAAACGAGGGAGAGACAGAGGAGGTCACCGGGAGAAGCAAGAGGAGAACCAGGGTCATGCCTTTAAATATGGTGGAGAAGCCAGGTAAAGTGGCACATGCTTGTAATTGCAGTAATTCTGGAGGCTGAGGCAGACGGATAGCAGGTTGAAGGCCAGTTTCAGCAATTTAATAAGTAACTTGGCTAGACCCCTGTTTCAAAATTAAAAAAATAAAATGAACTGGGGATGTAGTTCAGTGGTAAAACACCCCTGGGTTCAATCCCTGGTACCAAAAAAAAAAAAAAAAAAAAAAAGATTCACTTAAAGGTAGTGGAGAATATTTCAAAAAAGGAGAGCAGCAAAGAGTTCAGGAAAATAAGGTCCAAATGGGTAGATTAATTCTCTGATGCCAGAAATATCCTTTTATAAAATATTAAGATTTTTTGCAAATTGAAATATCTATATGTATAAAGAGTGCTAAAAACATATTCACCTGTGGAGCCACCGTGCTAATCAAGAGAGAGCATTTCCAGCACAGTATCTTGCACAAAGTACTCAGTAGACCTCCAGCTGTGTGCAGTTAGTACCAGGGCAGGTTTGATCAGGCAAGAAGAAGAGAATGAATCTTAAGTTGAAAGCCTGCCCAAAAGAGCTGTATTATCTGAGGTCAGATGAAGTAAAAAGTCAAATACTGAAGTCAGGGTCAGTGGGGACAAGGGGACAGTATTTTGTAAGTCTGTGCAGGTTTGGGGTTGTGTAATCCTGTGTTATGCAAGCAATGTTCGGTGACCTACAGGCACGGAGGAAACATCAAAGTTAGTTTTAATTCTCTAAGCTGGGAGAATTTGGCCTCTGAAATTCTAGGTAGTTAAGGGTTACAGGTATGTGGTGCTCCTACATCAGATCTAAAATGACAAGATTCTGGGAGCTTTCAAAAATTTGCTCTGACTACTGATAAAAGTGAGATTCTGGCTGATTTAAATACTTGGCTGTTGTCATGTTAGCAAATCATTCCACTCAGTTCCCCAAATGGAAATGACATTTAACTAAGAACATGTGAAAAGGCTGATAGACATCGATCCCAACAGAATAGTTCCCTAATATAATGCTGCATTGTTTCCACCTTATATTCAAACAGAGCTGCCTATTTTCAGGTATTAAAGAGCTTGGAGTGCCTGCTAAGGTCTCTATGTGGCTAAGTGACATCTTGAACTTAATATGTCCTAAGCAGATTTTTTTTCTTTCCAGTACTGGGAATACGAGAATCGAACCCAGGACCTTGCACATGCTAGGCAAGTGCTCTACCACTGAGCTACATCCCTAGCCCTCTAAGCAGAATTTTGTTTTTTATCTCTGCTCTCTTGCCCAGTCTTCTCCATTTTAGTAAATGTCACACAGATGCCTTAGGAGTCTTCCTTAATTCTGATCCTTTCCTTCAAACCCTAATTGAGTACATCAAAGTTTGTCATCTTCAGAATATATCCTGATTTTATCTAGCACAGATATTAAATAGGTAAGCTCTTGAGGCAGAATTCTTAGGTCTGAATTGTAGCTCTAACACTTACTACCTAAGTAATTCTGGCTGAATTATTTTACCTCTCTGTGTCAATTTCCTCCTATGTAAAATAAATGTAACAAAGGCACCTATCTCACAGGACTGGTTGTAGAAATGATGTTAATACATATAAAGTATTTGGCATTAGGACTGGCTATAGTAGGTGCTCAGTTAAGGTAGTTAGTACTACCTCTACTATGGTTTCAATAAGTATCACACAACTATCCATGTGGTAAAGGCTTGTTCTCTGGGGTGGTGCTATTGGTAAGTGGTAGAACCTTTAAAAGTTGGGGTCTGGTGGGAGGTCGTTATGTCACTGAAGGTGTACCCAATGAGGGAATAGTGAGACCCTAGTTTCTTCCTCTTTCTGTTAATTTACTCTGCTCCCTGGTTTAAGAGGAGAGCATTGTTGTTTCATTATGTGCTCCCACCAAGGTGTCTCACTCTCACCAGAGACCCAAAGCAACAGGGCCACTTGATCTTCAACTAGAAACTTCAGAATCATAAGTCACAATAAACCTTTTCCTCCCCCTGCCTCTTTCATCTATCTATCTATCTATCTATCATCTATCTATCTATCTATCTATCTCAATGCTGGGAATCAACCCCAAGGCTTCACACATGCCAGGCAAGCATTCTCTCACTGAGCCACATCCTCAGCCCCTGAACCTTTTCTCTTTACAAGTTAATTACCTTGAGTATTTCATTATAATAATGGGAAGGTGAGATGAGCCAACCCTCATCTTCCCCCACCTGGATTACTGAAACCATTGATACCTACCAAGATTCCCTATTTTATTTTTTACTATGGTCTACACTGCTACCAAAGTAAACTTTCAAAAATACAAACCACACTGGAATGGTGGTGCACACCTCTAATTCCAGTGGCTTGGGAGGCTGAGGCAGGAGGATTGCAAGTTTGAGGCCAACCTCAGCAACTTATTGAGACCTGCAGCAACTTAGCAAGATCCTGTCTCAAAATAAAAAAAAATAAGAAGGACTGAGGAGCCCAGTGTTGTGTTTCATGCCTGTAATCCCAGTGACTCGGGAGGCTGAGGCAGGAGGATTGCAAGCTTGAGGCAGTAAGCAACTTAGTGATGCACTAAGTCACCTAGTGCAACACTGTCTCAAAATTTAAAAAAACTAACTAGATAAAAAGGGCTGGGGGGCATGTTGCAGTGGTTAGACACCACTGGATTCAATCTCCAGTAACACACACACACACACACACACACACACACACACACACACACAGACTGGGAATGTAGCTCAGTGGTAAAGTGCCCCTGGATTCAGTTTATATAAAAAGTATGTAAAAATACATATAATTCAGCTCAAGCCATTCAAGCTGTTCAAAGTCCTCCAACAGCTTCCCAATTGCAAAGAATTCCAAAGCTCTTATCACCACCAATAAGGCCCAAGCTGGTCTGGCTTCCACTAATAGCTCATCATATATAACTCTCTCCTTGCATGGCTGTACTTGATTTTGCCCTTCCTACTATTTCTCAGAATTACCACGTCACTCTGGTACAGACATTAGCACTGGCAGTCCCTCTTTCCAGTAAGCCACATGTTAGAACATCCTCGCTTCATCCAACTTCACATAGATACTGAAAGACTGTCCCAAATTACTATTTCCCCCATTGCCTGTTTTGGTTTTCATAGTGCTTATAAGTTATTTATTTGTTTCTGGCCATCTTCCCCTGCTACAGTGACTGCTTTCATAATCCATCTGATTCATCAGTATGCCCCTGTGATTAAAACAGTAGCTGAACATCATAGGAGCTCAGTCAATGTTGGTTGAATAAACGAATGAATGGGGAATTTTCTTGTCTTCCCATATTCTCCATCCATCTCCTCTTTGTTCCCAATTAAACACTTTAGAAACCATTTAGCTCAACCCTCTTATTTTACAGAGGAAGAAACCTGCCTGCAGAGGTAGACCTGCCTAGTCTTGGGACAACCTCCCACTCCTGCTCCTTTCTACATCACTTCCCCTCACCTTCCTCCATCCACACCCTGCTGCGTCCCAGGGCATGCTATCATGAGCACTGGTAGCTACAGCATTTTTACGAGGCTCTTCTCTTTTATCTTCTACCTTTTGGGGGGTCTCTCTGTCTGCTCTCCTCCTTCTCCTTCTGCCTTTCCTGAGACTCATTCTCAGGGTTCCACTTTTGACCCACCCTCCCCACTTCTCTCCAAGGTACTCATCCATCACCCTGACTTCAACTACCATCAACTCAGCTGAAGAATCTGTACCTGCAGCTCAGATTTCTCCCCTCATCCTCAACTCACACTTGTGCTCACTAGACACATCCATCTAGATGTCTCTGAGCCTCACACACTCAGCATTCTCAACGTAGAAGCCATTCTCCATCAAAATTGCTTTTCCTTCAGTGCTCCCTACTGCATGAATGGTAACAGGCTACCCAATCTGGGAACCTCCTCACTCTCTGTTCCCTTCAAAAAACTTAAAGATGAGTTGAGTCTACTTCTCAAATAATTGTCAAATCTATTTATCTCATTTTCTCTGCTACCTTTTTAGTTATACCTGTCATCACCTCTCACGGGGACTATAACAGTCACCTAATTAGGAATTTTTGAAAACATGGGTCTGAACCCATTAGCAAAGTGTCAAATCACTTTTGTGAATCATAACAAGCTTTTAAAAGACTCTTAGCTGAGTGTGGTGGCTTACACCTCTAATCCCAGCCACTCCAGAGGCTAACGCAGGAAAATCACAAGTTTCAAGCCACACACAGCAATCTAGCAAGACCCTGTCTCGAAATTAAAAATAATAATAATAATAAGGGCAGCAGAATACAACAGACACTGGTATGGCTATATGTATAAATGTGGCTGTATAACCAATGTGATCCTGCAATCTGTACACGTGGAAAAATAAGAATTCATACCCCATTTGAATCAAATATATGATATGTCAAGATCATTGTATTGTCTTGAGCAACTAATAAAAAAAATAATAAAAAAAGAACTGGGGATATAGTTCAGTAGTAGAGAACCCCTGGGTTCAATTCCCAGTATGCCCCATCCCCCCCAAAATCTTAAACTTACATATAAAATCCAAAAAGTAGCAGGACCAAAGCTAGTAGCAACATGGAGACATTTACTGGCAGCTTTTCCTGTTTTTGTAAAGGTCAATTCTGAAAATATTTTCAACAAGGGAGAAAACACAAGCCTGCCCCGCACCATACACTTAACCTGAATGGAGAAAAGTTTATATGAATACCAGTGAGCAGTGTTGTCAAATGCAGTAGAAGTTCACTTTAATGTTATTTACATATATCTCATGATGGTGAAGGAATTCAGTCTGTTTCTAAGGTGCTCTACGTTGCTCAGACCCCTCCTGCCTCCTGCCCTGGATCTTGACCTGGAATCTACCTTTTCTCCTTATTGTCTCTAGCAGCCCTCTTGGATTTGAAAAAGTGGTCAGGTATTCATTTTAGTTTGGTCAGTACAGTTTGATTCTGTGGTTCCATGATCCTGGTCAGGAGCTAAGCTTTCTGAACATGATGGAATTTTCCTCAGTGTCAACAAGTCTAGTAACCACCTCTCCCTCACAGCTTTCTCCTTCCTGCAGTAACTCCTGAATTTGAATAGGAATCATTCCGGGTTGCTCCATCAGTAGCTCTCACCAACTTCCATCTTTCCAGTCTTTGTGAGCATCGCATTCCCAGGACAGTTCCCAGGGCGAACTACATGACCACATGAGGAGAACCAGGCTTCAGAAAGTGGGGAGCTCTACAACTAAGGTTAGTGAATGTCCCACTCACCCCAACACCTCCCAGGCCCCATCTCCCAGCCTGCTGTAATCAGAATTTTTAAAACATGAAATAAAATGGAATAGAATAGAAAATGTCTGACTACAGCACATGTGGTCAGGTCGAGCAGTTATGTACAATTGTATACAAACACGGGGTTTACTGTGGGTCATGCCATGTTATTCTGCCTTTATTTTTGTTGCCCTCTTACTCATTTTCCACCCTGAGAATCACCTTTCTAAAAAGCAAGTGCAATATAGGAAAGGTTAAGTACTGCACCCAAAGTCAAAAGAAGCCGGAGTTGAAATCTGCCTCTGGCACCTCATGGCTGTGTGATCATACATGGGTAACATCAGCAATGACCTTTGTTCTCCCCATATGTTAAGTGGGAAAAGTATCATGAATCCAGGGTCAGGGCCACAGCCAGCCTCACACAAGCCACTTTAAATCACATACTTTTAATCTTTGCCAGAATCCAAAGGTATTTATATTATTTTTGTTTTGTTAATGGAACTGAAGCTCAGAGAAACTAAGTAATTTGCTCATGGTCACATTGCTAGTATGTTTCTGAGCAAGGATTTCATTTCAAGATTCTCCACGTTCTTTCCATTGAGCATGAATTTCTGCTGCCCTATATCTGAGGTTTGTCAGCTCATGACTGACTTCTCAGAGTCACATAACTCAATTAATTGCATATGTATTAAGCATTACTTTTGTACATAACTCAAGTTGGGGGCTATAGGGAAAAGACAAAAGTACGATGTGTACTGCTCTATGGAATGTACATTTAACTTCTAACACTGATAATACAGACCAACAGTCAGTGTGTTGATGGTGCTGACTATATGAAGCATGTTAAGATATTTTCAAATTGTAACATTATTCTATTATAAATTTAAGTTACTCTTAATGAAAGAAATCAATTTATATTTCATACAATGCATCAAGATTCTAGTTTAATGGTATAATTTGTAGATTAAAAATCCATATGGATATGAAATGAATATAAGTTGGTTATTTTAAAATTGAGAGGAAGGTGCCCCTTTTCAGAGATTAAGACTATAGGAATGACACAGTGGTCTCTTGCATTTTTAAAAATAAGCCCCAATGTATTTGTATTTTACCGAATTATCAGCATTTTTATAAATAAAATTGGTCTACTTTCCAATTAAGGACTAATAGGAACCATAAATGGGCATAATTACTTGGTGTCAATTAAAAATAAAAAAATATATTTTTAATAAACATAATTTGCTTAAGACTGCCTAGTAATCATGAAACCAAGTCACTTGGCAATGAGTTTAAAAGCATGTGTGTACAAGCAGCAGGGAGAGAAACTTAATTAACATTACCCTATAGCCCTTTCCTACCTGGTATGCTCCTAAAAGAGAGAGGAGTTTCAATCATAATCTGAGGAAGACACAACTATATTTCTGATATAAAAAATTAATTAATTCTGAATGAAGTTATTCTAACAGTTGTGATCATCCTAAGGTCAAGAATTAAAATCAGAAATATTAATAATATTTATATTTTCTATTTTGTCATCCTTGAACTATGCTCGAAGTTTCTTAGTAGTCAATGCTTTTAGTTTGAAAATAACTTTAAGACAGTTTTTATTCAAGTTATCCATTATTTTTACTTTTTATTATGTTTTTTCAGGAAGTTCCTTTTCTGTAAGCATGTAAGAATAAATATGTAATGGATTGTGAAAAAACAAAGAATTAATAGGAAAGAACATTTTTGGAAAAAAAAAAAACAGTATTCTTTAAAGGGCTCAAAGGAAGCTGCTGGTCACTCGTCAGAACGAGCCGCACCCTTCCACATTTTGTTTACTCTTTCTGCTTTCCCTATTTATTGTTTTAAATTGACTTTCCATTCCTCTAGTGAGCACCATGTTCTAAGCAAAGCTGGGAAATTCAGTTTATATACACAGTACTGACTTATCGGTTTTTCTATCAGGAATTATTTAATACACATAAGGAATTATTTAATACCATGGAAAAGGATGTCATACTGAAGAGCAGGCTCGTGTACTTGGAGAAGACCCTGGAAGGGTGCAGGTGCTTCTGTAGCCCATCTCTGTAGTGTGGAGGAGACAGGAAGACCCAACAAGATGCCCTAGGGCCTTTGCAGTTGTTGATGTAGAAGAGACTCAGTCAGGGTTTCCCTTGAAATATTAAAAAAAAAAAAAAAAAAACACGAGCTATATCATTATCTTGGTCTAACTGATATTTAAACATTATACCCTGTTGTTATCATTTCTGGACACTAAGCTTGTTTCTTAGCTATAACCTCTGAGAACACTCTAAGAAAAAAAATCCCAGGAAGAATTAAGTTTTCAATTTCCTTTCTTTGAATTTCTTTGTTTGCAATAAAATTAATATTAAAGCTTCTAGAAGAAAACCAGCACCACTTATATCCTATTTAGGATAAATACAGCATACATATTTATCTGGAAATCAAAAGTTAATTTTACTGTTGCTATTTTCCATGTGAAAATTTCAAAGGATCCTGGAACATTTCTCAAATAGATGAGACCTTGCATGCAGATACATACCCTCAGAGGTTTGTGATAAATGGGATTCTCTTGTTACTGTACTAAAGGCTTAATTTTTAAAAATTCTCTGAAAAATTATCAGATCCAAGATAAAATACACAGAAAGAATCTTTAAAAACATCATGAAAATGAGACAAAACATTTGACAAGAAAAAGACAACTTGAGCTATAACCCATACAAATCCCCCAGCTGCCTGGGTATTCCCAGGCAGTACAAGATAACAGAATTCCATTCTTGTGATGTGTGGGAGTTGGCACGTATAAAAGAAAGCAGTTTGTGGTTAGTGAAGGCACAATGTGAAAATGTACACATTGTATCATTCTTGTCAAGGAAATGATCCTGGGGTTTAATCCATTGTGAAGGTGTATGGTGCTAGCCCCTATGGGATTGTGAGGTTAAAAGGTGGCCTCTCTTAGGACCATGTTAGTTAAATGTGGGTAACATTAGGTCAGAAACCAAGAACTGGAAATATCCACCAACATAATAGGAAAAGGTCTGCATTATGTGGAATGGAATTAAAATATGAATGTATAAAGGAGCACACATTAAAAAGGAAAATATACTAATGAACTTCACACAAAAAAATAACCAGATTAAAAGTGTTATGTCTTGAAGGAAGTGATAACATTGGTTTATCCAGCATAGTGGGATGAGATGACACAGTATTGGAGAAAATGCTGTCAAAGAGCTGAAGGCTTTGTTATTTGCTTAGGAAATATATAATGAGTGCCTCTTCAGTATATATCACAGCACTACTGTGAAATAATCTTTTAAAAAGCTATGAGATGTGATGTTGTGACCTCACCTAGAGTTTGCATTTTTACAGGAACAATTGGATAGTACAATGATTTTTTTAAGTATTATCAGTTTTCATCCTCTTTAGATATATAAGAAAAATTAATGTGGGGGTAAATTAAAGCAATAGCTGAACTAATGTGGGCTAAAAGCAATTTCTGAAAGAAAAAAATGTATTGCTTTTTCATGCATGAGTGTGTGTGTGTGTGTGTGTGTGTGTGTGTGTGTAAGAGGAGGCAGGGAGCAGGTATGTGTATGTGTGTGGAGGGGGTCATCTTATAGTATAATTTGTTATTTTAGAGAAATTCAGCTTATTATCTATTGTCATCTAGCTTCTATACCTATTAACAGCCATTCTTTAGCTTTTAATCTTCTCAGTTATTTGGCCACTTATTTTGGTGAGGAGAGTCTTTTACCAAATGTCTTGTGTTCCCTTAAATACAGACTTGCTCATGAAAATCACAAATCACTTGGTTTGGTTTATAATTTCAAAGGCAAATTGTTTTGATCACTACATCAAAATTTCAGTCTGAAGCACAATGAATAATTATGCTGAAAAAATAGGTATTACTTTCCCAGTTGATGTTTATCATGTATGATATCATATAAATGCAACATTTCTTATGTGAACAAGCTTGACCACTTATATAAAATAATATCCAATTGAACATTTTACATCTAGTTTCCAAAGTAATTGTGCTGGGTGAAAGAAGTCAGACACAAAAATGTATACATTGTGTAGTTATATTTATATAAAATTCCAGATAATTGCTAAATACTCTACAGAGAGAGAAAATGAATGGATAATTTCCTGGAGGAGAGGGCAAGGAAGTGAGGCAGGAAGAGGTTACAAAGGGACACAATGAGACTTTTGGGGTGCTGGAAATATTTGTCGTCTGGATTGTTAGTGATGGTTTCACAGATGTATACACACACTAAATGTTCTCAAAACTGTACGCTTCAAATATGGTCAACTTGTTGTATGTCAGTTATACCTCAACCCGTTCTAACAAAATTCTAATCTTGATTATCAAGTTATTCTTGTCCAAATGATCTGTGCCAATATAATTAGTACACATTACACATATTTGGGATGAAGGTGAAAAATAGAGAAAACAGAAACCACAGATGTGAGATTATCAAGAGGATGGCTCCTTCTTTTGATGCTGCATCTAGAGGTCAAGCCTCTTGTGACTTATCATCTTCAACTTTTCCAGTAACACTGTTCAGTTTTGCTTTCATCACTCCAGAACAAATAACTTTCCAAGTCCTCACGAAGCACTATTTCCTAGGGTGTTTCGAAAAGCTAATGCCAGAAATGCTAGATAATATCTCCCAGGCCTGGAGCTGCATAAACCATGGAGCAGATTTAGTAGCTTCTATTGATAAGAGAAAAGGAAATGAAAAGCGATGATTCAAGGACAGAAAAGATAGTTTAGTACCTTTATCTTACCATTAATATCTACAAGAAAAACAGTTTTTGAAAGATATGAGTTAAGTGTTCAGGGCATCCCTGCAATCCGTTATTTTCACGCTGCAGCCAAAGTGATATTTTGAAACTGCAAATCTGATCAAGTCACTCCTGCTTAAAATCCTACTGTGGCTCCCTACTGGCTACTGCCTTTAGGAAAAATC